CATTGTGGAATTGTTGCCGATGTATTTTTTACTACTGCAAAAGGGTTTAAAACAGCATATGTAGTGTTTGAAAAGGAATCTGCCTTAGAAAGAGCATTAGAACTTCCTAACAATAGTGTTGTAATATTAAATGATGAGCAGAATGTATGCTTAACAGGATTGGCCAGTGAGTTATTGTATATTTTTGTTTTTATTTAAGTTATTTGTAATTTATAGTCTATAAATTTATTTGAATTATTCAAATAGAATGGTGTAAAGATTACAATGACTCAATTTGCGATGAAGAAAGGATGAAAAAAGAAATTGAAGATTATATGAACAATTACGATCGAAGAATAAATGAGAAGATTATTAGCGAAAAAGCTATGGCAGAAGAAGACAAGAGTAATGATGGTTGGGTAACTGTGACTGGACAAAAGAAGAGAGGACAGTATGCTCTTGCTAGAAAGGACTCAGTTATTAACAAAGTGCAACAGAAAGAAGAACAGAAAAATAAGAAAAAGCAGTTGCTCAACTTTTATACTTTCCAGATTCGTGAAAGCAAAAAACAAAGTAAGTTCTTTGTTGCACAATATAATTTATATGAAATTTTGATACTTCAATTATTTTATTATATGCTTTTTTCATAGATCTGGCAGAGCTGAGAAAGAAATTTGAATTGGACAAGAAAAGGCTACAAGATTTGAAGTCAAAAAGAACGTTCAAACCATTTTAAATAAATGGGTTATATAAAGAAGAAACTATTTTTTTAATTTTAAATGTGAAATAATATTTATTATATCATACAAATTTTGTTTACATTTATATTTATCGAAAAGTCATATGTTGCCTTGTCATATGTATTCCAATTTATATACACAACATGAGAAGCATAAGTTAAAGTAATGACTTCAGTAAATCAAGAAGCTTTACTTGCATATGTCTGTAGGGTCCATTCAATTAGAAAGTGTTGATATGCCAATGGCTGTAACAGAGCCAACAATTCTTCTGTAAAGTAGAACAATTAATTAATTGATGTAATTCATATAACAATTAACAAATTATAGTAAGACATACGTTTGTTACCATAAATACAATTAGCAGACATCGCTGCGCTTATAGCTTGTGCAAGTCGTTCCATAGCTAAATCACGTGAAGTTAGACTAGCAGTTGAATGAGATCCTAAGTTGCTACCTAAAGCACGAGTGGTGGCTGCAAAGTGCTGTGCTGAAATTGCATGTTTATTGTTTCCACTATTTTTTAATTTTAATACTGAATCCATAAGTAGTTGTTGAATTTTAGAATACAGTTTCTTTTGCTCCTGACAATTTTCTGTATTTTTTAATCGAAGAGGACATAAAATACACCACCTAATAAAAAAGATTAATGATTATTATTGGATATTTAAAGTTTATATATGATTGTGTACAAAACAAATACTACTACTCGAAATTGAAAAAACACAATTTCATACAAGTATACATAGACGTGTGAATGCCTGCCATCCAAGTGTTAAGAATGTAAAATTCTACAAATTTACCTGAACAAGCCTGCTATAGGTGTAATTGGTGTCATTGGAATACCACCGGTAGGCAAGGCAGGATTATCCATTAACGGAGTTAACAAAAGACTTGGGTTTTCATCAATCCATTCTCCTACCAATCTAAGCAGTTCAGTAGGTGGATCTTTCTCTTCATAAACCTCACCTATCGCCGTTAGTAAGTTGGCAGTGAAATGTGGTGCAAGCACAGGAAGCTGCTTCAATTTATCAATAGATTTTGGAGTAAGGACAAAGTAGTCATTAAGTACATGCCTTGCTAATCCTACACTCTGCGTGGAGGTAGAACCTAGCTGTTGCATCCAAATTCCTGTTGCATTCAGTACCGCTTTATTTTGAGTAGCTATAGCCAACGATACTAAATTGCCCAATATTTTGTTTCTGGGACTATCTGCAGGGAAAAGGGATAAAAAAACTGCGTTTCGTACAGCAGCGCTTCCCCCTGGACTTTGAAAGAAATCGCTAAGTACTTCTATTAATTGTAACTCCTGTATGGCGATAGTGCTATTGCGTTTCTTTCGTCTCTCTATTTCCCCAAATACGAACTCTGATATTAAATCCAGTTGCAGGTCCATTTGCTTTCCTGGTCGTCCGCATAGTATTTCTTTAAAAAATTGACATATGTTTGCACACAAGTATACATATAATGTTTATATATAAAATAGTTAACCCTTTCAATTCATCTTACCGATTCTGCATAAAGCTTCTCTAGCGCAATATGGAAAATCTAATTTTCGTAAGTTTTGTTTTATATCATTCCCAGCCATTAATGCCTATATATGCGACTGACATATAATATGTTTGTACATTCAAAATAAATAATACGATGGCATGTCATCTAATTAGTGACTGAAGACTACATAGCTGTTTTTATAAAGCTAGCATTCCTGATTTTCATGATCAGTATAAATTCTTAAAAGTTAAGAAAACACGTATCTTGATTGGTCCATTTTAGTTAATGCGGATTTCTATTATTAAATAACCAATAAGCTGTTGCACTACTATGCGACTTTGATATGATAGCGCTATACATATGATTCTTCCAGAATTGCCATCAAATTAGGAGCGAAATTTGAAACTTGTGAAATGTAATATGTACGTATATACATTGGAAAATTATGTTGTTTACGTTTGTATAATATTAAGAAAATCAAGTTGAATTAGGAAGACGAAGAGAAAATAAGTCTCATAGAATCTTTTGACAAAGTATGGCGTAACTGAATGGAATAATATAAGTATGAACATGAAATCTTTAAAAATGGACTTAAAAAAAAAAGACATTAAACGCCAGGGGAATGACGCTCCTCAATTAAACAAATCTGGTTTGCAAGCCTGGAATGGACATCTTCTAAGACAAGACATTCTTTCACATATTTTGTCCAAAATTCAATGCTCCATCAATAGCCTGATTCAACGAACCAAGAGCTAAAAGCTCGAATTAGCCCTAACTTGACTAATTCCGACACACAGTGACGCAACAATAAACAATACATAAAACATTATATGTTGCTAGGGATACGAATCCTAGTTACAATTATAATCAATAAATAACTAGGTATTAAAGTAAAAATGTCACTTAGAACTCATAGCCCTCTAGTGGCGAATCGTGAAACGCGCCGTAGGGAAGACTTCTAATTCATAGCGCCACCTCCGACTAGGTTGCGAACCACATTGTTAGTCAAAACAATCGCCGAATTCACGGTCTATTTTTAGGTGGCACCCATTAAGCTACAGTGCATCACCATTTTTCGCGTACACCGAAAAAAGCTATATAGTCGACGGTCACCGCGGCGACGGTCTTTCGATCTCGAAAAAGTTCAACGACCCCGCGGTATAATTGTGACAAGAGGAGCGACCGGCCATGTTTATATCGTAGTGAATTTCGAGGTAGCGGCCTGAGACCCGAGACGAATTTATCCACGTGTACTTGCTCAATCTTCATCCCCTGTACCTGACGTCCAGCACAGTGTCGGAAGCCTTCGAGTGATGGAGTCCAGCGAGAGGGGTGAGTGAATCTGCATGTGAAATAAAATCGCGGCAATATTGAGTCTCTGACACAAATCACGACCTGGGGGCAATGGCAGTGTCAGGGTCGAAACGGAACTAGTTCAGTGACCGCATTCGTGATATTCGACCACGATATTATTCGTGATTTTCACGTTACATCTCATTTTCATTCATCCTTTATCCTCTGCGAGTATAATATTCTCTATTGGAAACGGCTTCCTGTGAAAATTAACTCTCGACCGAATCTATGTCACGCATCTTACTTTTGATCTTGACTGTACTCTCTACTCTTGGCTCAATCCCTACGCGTGCCTCTTATATACATACATAATACATACATACATACATACATATATATATATATATATATATATATATATATATATATATATATATATATATATATATATATATAATATATGTGTAT